TGATTACAATGCTCGGACTTGGAGATGAGAAGCTAGTTACCTTCCACCCCGTAATAACAGTTTTTTACTCCAGTTAATTTGAGCGTCTAATCCAGTATCCCTACCAAACCTCGTAATGGAGGCCATTCGGAATGTCGGCCCGTTGCATCTTAGGCACCGTGTGATTATTAAATGTCGGATTAATACACATACCCAATTGATGCGCATTCAAGTCCCACGACCCCTGATTCACCTCGAACGTGACGGCATTTGGCATGCACCGCACCCCTGACCCAACAGCGCCCCCAACCAACCCGGTTACCGCCCTCTCACAAACCGCATCACAGTTACCTGCATCGTGTGCTCAGCACACCACACCCACCCAACCACAGCGCTCGTGTCACTCCGACCCCGCACACGGCTGGCTGATGGCCATTGGCCCGCTGCCTTGAGCCGCCGACCTCGACCAGCGATGGCCAGGGACCCGTGCGGATCTGCAAATCATTCTTGTTTGTGGCGAGCCGGAATGTGATCTGATCTCAATTGAAAAGGGGGCGGGTGGGTGATCCGAACTTGGCCGGGGTTAGCATCAACGGTTTGTTGAAGTGGTCATCACGCGGTTCCACGGTGCATGTGGGCTGTGATGGCATGTCTCGGGTGGCGATACGGCTGGGTCCGGAGGTGAGGTGATGGGCCAACTGCTATTGAGATCGGAATGTGATGGGGGATGTGGCATGCCCCTGAGTTCGGGATAGGGGCATGGGGGAGTATAAGTATGCCCGGCTGGGCGAGGGTTTTGCGTTCGTTTGTTCATCACCACCAAACAAGTAATCAGACTATCGCTGCATCCTTGCGCTGACAATCAATCAACAACTCGATCAAGATAAACCCCAATTCGATTTAAAGGGCATCTATTTAACTAAGCCCCCGCCAACTTGGACTACACACACCCAACCTTCACCACCACCAAAATGCTTTTCCTCAGAACCCTCGCCCTTACCGGGCTCACAGCCCTCACAACCTTGACCACCACCACCCTCGCAGCACCCACCACGACCCCCAACACCCCGGCGGCCCTCATCTCCAAACGCGCCCACTACCAGCCATCCACTGACGACGACTACTGCGGCGAAGCCAACCCGCAATACACCTACGGCTCTAACACGCCCCTGGCCGCGGACTGCAAGTCGCTGTACGAAGCCAACGCCGGGCCGGGGTATTGGAGCGTGTCGGCGGCGGAGACGCGCTCGCTGGACAGCAGCGCGGACCGGTGGACGCGGCTGGCGGCGCAGGGGAGCTGCGCGTTCGAGGTGCGGCTGAGCCGCGAGAATGATGGGGAGGGGAAGGCCGGGCTGGTGGAGTATCGGTTTGGGACGAATGATGTCGCGTTTTATATCAAGTCGCATGCGGGCAGTGGGGCGGCGAGGGATGGAAGGGTTGGCGTGAGCAGTGGGGTGTGGTGTCGCAGGGAGAAGGGCGAGGCGCAGGTGAGGGTGGATTGGAGGGTGGTGAAGACCTGAGTTTGGGGTGGGGGGGGATTATGGGGAGTATTGG